ACGTACATGCTATACTGCATTAGCAGACATTTTAGGAATATAAATGTTAGTTCGGGCAATAAGGAAATTATCATGTAACCCAGGGCTGTTGAGTACAAAGATGCCTATTCAGCTACATACAAAACAAAGACTTTAATATATCAATAAACAACTCTATGTCTTCAAAACAATTTTTTTAGCATCTTCTGGAATTGAACAGCATTTTAAGAAACAATATGGAATCTGAAAACAAAATTAATTTCATTTTAATATGTGGGATGATATAAACACAGCTAAAAATGTGTGTGTCTACAAAAGTCATATTTATTTTGCCTGAATGTGTTGATGCAACTAATATTTGTGCTTTGTAAAAAAACAAAAAGCAAAAAAACCTCAAACACTCTAGAATTATATAATCTAAAAAGTTCCCCTCCTCAGAGTTTTCTTAGTGGTTCTCTCCCTTCCTCAGAAATAACGACTAATTTGGTAAACATTTCAACTGATTTTTTTCCTGTACGTGTATAAACCTTTATATATCATATGTGTGTTTATACATATACACACACATGCCAATGAAATAATACTTATTGTCTCCAGTAGATATTGCTCTACTTCATATTTCTTCCCTGTTATGTATTCTAACTGTCATAAACCTTTCTTTTAGGGAAACACTCAAGAACAGCATGAAGAAATAGGCAAAGGTAATAAAAACATGTCCCAATTTTTAAAAGAAATGCTCAATAGTGAAATAGCTGCAAATAAGAGAGCTTCAAAGGACAGCAACAATGTCCAAGAAACAGGTGATGACCATGATGAAGATGAAGATGGAGATGAAGACGAAGATGATGAAGGAGAAGATGATGAAGAAAGTGATGAAGAAACAAACACAGATGAGGAAGAGGAAGCAAAAGAGCAAACCAGAAACTGCGAGAGCAATTGCCAACCAGCAACAAATAAAGCATTGGAAGAACAGACAGCCAGACCAGAGGCCCAGGAAAAAAGTGAGAAAAAAATATCAAAATTAGATCCGAAGAAGTTAGCTCTAGATACTAGTTTTTTGAAGGTAAGTGCAAGGCCTTCAGGAAACCAAACAGACCTGGATGGCAGCTTGAGGCGCGTCAGACAAAATGATCCTGCCATGAAGGAACTCAACCTGAACAACATTGAAAACATCCCCAGGGAAATGCTCCTGGACTTTGTCAATGCCATGAAGAAAAACAAACACATCAAGACGTTCAGTTTAGCGAATGTGGGTGCCGATGAGAATGTAGCGTTTGCCTTGGCCAACATGTTGCGTGAAAACAGGAGTATTACCACGCTCAACATCGAGTCTAATTTCATCACAGGTAAAGGAATTGTGGCCATCATGAGGTGTCTCCAGTTTAATGAGACACTAACCGAACTTCGCTTTCACAATCAGAGGCACATGTTGGGCCACCAAGCTGAAATGGAAATATCCAGGCTGTTGAAGGCCAATAACACTCTCCTGAAGATGGGCTACCATTTTGAGCTTCCTGGGCCCAGAATGGTGGTGACCAATCTGCTCACCAGGAATCAGGATAAACAAAGGCAGAGAAGACAAGAAGAACAAAAACAACAGCAACTCAAAGAGCAGAGAAAGTTAATAGCCATATTGGAGAATGGGTTGGGGCTGCCCCCTGGGATGTGGGAGAGGTTGGGAGGACCGATGACAGATGCCCAAATGCAGGAGTTCCTCCAGCCTCCTCCTCAACCTCCCCACCCCCAAGCAGTCCCCTTTAGTCGAAGAAACGAAATGATGAAAAAGCCATCGCAGGCTCCGCAGTACAGGACCGACCCTGACTCCTTCCAGATGGTGAAGCTAAAAAGAATCCAGCGCAAATCGCGGATGCCCGAGGCCAGAGAACCACCTGAGAAAACCAACCTCAAAGATGTGATCAGAACACTCAAACCAGTGCCGAGGAACAGACCACCCCCGTTGGTGGAAATCACTCCCAGAGATCAGCTTTTGAATGACATTCGTCAGAGCAATGTCGCCTATCTTAAACCTGTAAGTAGAAGGAGGGAGAAATGGTGAACAAGCACCACAATGAATGTGTCTCAACTCCATTCCCTGTTCGTTTTGACACAGGGAGCTACTAACTGTGGCTAACTGGGGGAAGCCAGTGAATGTTACCAGTAGATCTAAATCACTGGCTATCCCTGGGGACATACTCCTTTCTGGCTTCCATAATAATATTAGCAGCTAACATTTACTGAGCATTTACTAAAGCCAGAGTCACTCTATGAATTAACTCATAATCATCTTAGCCCTGTGAGGTAGGTATTGTTACTCTTCCCATTTTATAAAAAGGAGACTGAGGCTTAGAGACGTTAATAACATGTCTAGGAGACACAGCTAAGAGGCAGTAGAGCTGACATTGAACCCAGTTCTGGGTCCAGGGTCAAGCTTTGTTCATGCTGCTCTTCTGAACCCTCCAAGTGCATACTCAAAATAGCAACATTCCAGCCACACAGAGCTGATACTCAGAGATCCCCAGGAGCCTGCTGTGAGGAAAAAATAAGAAGGAGGCGTAGTTAGGCCAGTCATTTATAGATAACTGAATGCTTCCAAAATGCTTAGAAACAGTTGGTTCTTTTCTAGTAGATAAAGAGAGACTACCTGCAATTGTATTTACTACACTCTTCACTTTTAGGAGGTGGACAAATGGTAAACTTCAAGTTAGCATTAATTGAATCTATGAATTAATGGAGTTTTAAAATATTTTACTATTATTTCAGTTTCAATATTTACTGTGATTCACTATTACTGCTGCTAAGTGAAAAAGTTCTATTCCTTGCATCTTAGGTTATAGAAATGAAAATTTTTGTGGCATTATTATGATGACATTTATAGAAGCTGAGAGATGTGTTTAATAGTCACAGATGATTGATAATTATGTATTATTTTAAAATCTCATGTGTAATTTAGCCGAGTTTACATTAACAGAATAATCCATATATTATTTCATCATATAAATTCACAAATGGTTCAAGACATGTTAAACAAATATCTATATGCAATCTTGTTCTTTTTCTACTTTAAGGAGCTTTATATTCTAAAATAAGATTGTTATTGCTTGTTCATACATATACATATGTATGTCTCTTATTCCATCTCCTAATAAATGCAGATTTATCAATATTTCATTCTTCTAAATCAAAGATGACTTTCATCTATGATTTAGAGGGACTCTGATTCTTCCTGGAATCAGACGGTCACATGAGGTCAGGCAAAGGTGTTTTGTCCGCCCTTGAGCATAACATCAAGACTTTCTGCACCTGCTCTTCCACAGGCAGCCAGACCTCTGCTGGATGTTGAGAGAAACTAACTCTATCACTTCCGTAACCGTAACAGCCGCTTTGGTGGCTATATAGTCAGAAAGTAACAGTCTGAAAAGAATGACGAGGAGTCTTTTTTAAAATCTGCATTAAAAGTGGCAGGCAGCCAGACCTCTGCTGGATGTTGAGAGAAACTAACTCTATCACTTCCGTAACCGTAACAGCCGCTTTGGTGGCTATATAATCAGAAAGTAACAGTCTGAAAAGAATGACGAGGAGTCTTTTTTAAAATCTGCATTAAAAGTGGCATGTGGATTCAAAGTAGAAGATCCTCCGGAAGTACAAATGAGCACCTGAACCAACTCCATGGCTTCTGAGGGAATGTTCTACTGAGCAAATCCACTTTCCCTGAGTCTATTCCATTCCATCCACTCGCTTATTCATTAATGCAACAAATACCTATGTCAGGCACCATGAGAAGTGTCAGGGATACAGCGGTGGATAAGTCAGGTACAGTCTCAATCTCACAGAGCTTATAATGTAAGTTTTATAATTTTCAGGGTCAAGATCCTTTGCCTTTATTCCAATGAGAACACGTTAGTATTGAGTCTAGATCCTAGAGCAAAAGACATTAAAATAAATCCATGATGATAACTGCAAGAACACAACACCCTACTAAGTACTACATTTTTCATATTTGCATCAGATCTAAAATGCTATCAATTTTAAGTGTGCTTGACTTGTTTTTTTTAAAAAAATAAACTAACAAAGAAAACCATTCTGCAAAGTAAACTCTGACATGCTTTTTGATTGACAATACTGCATTTCAGCTTTAAAATGGCTTTTATCTATTTTGAGATATTGGCAATTTCTCCTGCCTTCGGTTGCCTGGCTTGGCCTGCGAAAGGCATCTTTTTGCGTGCGTCTCAGTTATAAAATGCCACACAACTTCATCTATTTGGTTGTATAAAACGCTCTGCAAGAATACTGTGAAAATGCATCATT